AAATATATAAATAAATAATTGAATACATTTACCTGGTCCAATAAACCTGCACTTGTACAAAGGGAATGTTATCAACCTTCTACCTTAAAAAGATGATTTGGGTATGGACGATTTAAATAAGCATTTAACAGCCATTTGGACGCAGTTCACATGTATACTGTTACAGTCAGAACACATGGAGATACATTTTATAACCTATCTATTAGGACACGACAACAGGATTTTCAACCCCACCAATATACCAAATAATGCAGCAACTACACCAAGTTATTTCAAATTCCATTTGAAAAATCTTATACCATTCCTAAGAAATAAAAATAGGAAAAGCTTAAGCCAGATGAAAACCAGTGAACTATATAACAGAATGCTTAGTCATTGCCACTCTAAAGTAATTAAATTATCCTACAATAGACTGGAACAAAGTTCGGGACTGGGTAAATTCCAAATGCTTTAAAGCGTCTCGGCGCGACGTAGCTTGGAAGATTGCCCATGAAATTGTTCCTGTAGAAGCGAGATTTAATCAGTTCAAAATCACAATCATTGCTCGTTCTGCCCCTGTATATGTATGACTGTGCTACATCTGCGGCTCTATGGAGGAAATGTGCCTTCATATTCGGCATCAAGTATGTCGTTTTTAGTACAATACTGTTCTGCCATCCTGTTTCTGTCACTAAACCCCATGTTTTTTCCTTTCTGTACTTACCAGGGGAACTTAAAGTGCAGCTCTTGGCTTCCAGCTGCAGGGGAGTATTCCAATGTGCGCGAGAGACGTCAGTGAAATCCTGAAAAGGGTTAGGAAAGCCACCCGAGACCTCATCGTCTACACTTTAACAAATATAACTGCTCCAAAAAGTAGAACAAGGATAACTCATGTATCTTTGAAAATCTTGGCGATGTCTTCAATCTCACGTTTTAACAACAGCATCCTCTCTAGCTAAGAGTCCATGCCATCACGAAAGTTCAACTGTACTCCAAGAGGTCGGACAGGAAAGAAGGATTACGGTGGTCCAGCCTCCAGTACTGGAGACTACAAGCCTGATAAACTGTTCTTTTAATGTTGTGTATGGTTACAAACTCGGATTTTGTGCTTTTCTTTGGATATGGACCACAAGTAACATAATGACTTTATTTATCGTTAATGATCATGCATTCAATGTATGTGTGTGTCTTAAGTGTTTTTCTCTTGTTAGTCAGAAAGAACGAGCACTTAGACAACATCAGCCCTATTAAACTGGGAAGTCTTTCTATTTTGACAATAGTGGCCAAGTGGTGCGTCCCTGCAAGTTCACTTTGAGAGGTGTAACGAGCATTGGGACCCGCGAGGCCCATAACTTTTATGATCTTTAGTTTTAAAAAGCCATATGGTGCGTCTCAGCAAGTTCATCTCGAGAGGTTCAACAAGCCTAGAAACCGCAAGTTTAAATGTCTAAAGTTTCGACCCCAGCTTTTCACTCTAAGGAGCGAAACTCATGGGGTTCTACTTTTAAATATAAATATATCTTAAGGCTATATTTGTAATGAGCGTGACTCACTTCTGTCGATGAAGAGCCACACAAAGTGTATAAATATTGTTGTTACTTCCCTTACTGGTCTTAATGTATCTGGATGTACCATTTTTCTGTATCTCAAACGAGCAGAGATTTACGGAAGGTCGTATCTTAACCTCATTCCGGCTTGCCTCAAACTAAGCTTAAAGTAAACATTTGTGATATACTATTCATAGCTTTAAAAATGTTTTAAAATTGTTTTAAAAACGAGTTCGACCTAGTAGTGTAAATTTTAGTACATGTCTTCCCACAAAAACAAGCTACAGTAAGAGATTAATAGCCTAGAGACAAATGATAGTTAGCGAAACATTGGGAGTATGTAAAGGGATGAAAGAAAAAATAGTTTAACATCTTCTCTCTCAAACAAATATTATTAAAATGGTAAAAAAGTACTCACCCTTTCAGCTCATGAAAGAGCTGGCACTATTGTAATCATGTCTCCTTGTGGAAAAGCTATGTCAGTGTTGTCTTACTATTCTTATGTATGTTTCAATAGGTTAGTTTATATCTTAGGTACAAGCACATAATACTTAATCAGTTTGAAAGCAATAAACTCTTTTGGAGGTGCATTGGAGGACTTCTCGGGCACATAGTTCAACAGATTTGTTGCTATTACATTTTTACAGCCATTTATCTCAAGAAACAGCCAATGATGTTGATCTGTGACAGAAACGATTGCAACCTTGTTCACATTATTTTCATATCAGGACTTATTTACATAAAATTGCTGTCAGGACAGTTGTGTTTGTTAGTATTGGGAGCTGGACTTAACTTTCCTCAACTGCAACTTTCTTCTTTGACTAAATCCTGTACCACTATGAAACCTTTCATAAAACTTTCTTTTCACTCAAAGTACAATGTGTGATGTTCCTCCATTATCATTATACTTTCTGAAAAATTTATTTTCACTTACAATACAATGTGTGACGTTCCTGTCCATCACCTAGGCACCTTCTAAAAAACTTTCTTTGCTTTCATAGTACAATTTGTGATGGCCTTGATCACCACGTGGGTGATAGTAAATTGTCCTTTCTTGATGAGTCACTTAAAGCCTATCATGTCTTATGAAGAATCGCTACAATCTTTCTTTTCACTTCTTAGACGTCTCTCATGCTGCTCTTTTGAAGTTGATCATTTTGCAACATATCTTGCAAGGAGCTTGTGAGCCTTTTTCAACTTTTAACTTGTTATTTTTTATTTTGTTAAGGGTACCAGATGCTATGTCCAGCTTTATAACAATGGCTTTTTGAGTCGGGGAATTCATTTTCGTGTTCACTTTGTGCATAAGTGCGTTAGTCCTGATTGAGTTGGACTGTGGAACTTGTTGCTGTCATGAGCTCTCTGTCGTACATTTTTGTTTTTAACTTCTGTAAAGAACACTGGAGACTCCTTTTTCAAAGTGTTATATCTTATTGGTTCATCAATTAAACATCTCCCTATGTGAACATTTATTTTCAGAAAAAGCTAAAACATGCCTCTCTTTTCACTGATCATTTTATAAAAGTCTTATACAAGCCCGATTATTACGTTTTGCTTTTACATATGTAAAAGATGTTTGTCCAACATGTGACCATAGTCCTAGAATAATCTCGACAGCTTAGAGAAATGTAGTTAATTTACACTCGTTTCCATATAAGTAAATGAACCTCCATATCAATAGTAATACTGAAATAAACTGCATTTCAGGATTGTGGACGCAGCTCAATTCAGGATATGTGAAAGTCTCCAAACATTGCACTAAAAGCCTTATCTAAAACAACAAAGATCCAATTTCATGTAAAAACGATTGGATCATTCCTAATTTTTACATTGTTTATTGTTTGTTTGTTTTTGAATTTCGCGCAAAGCTACACG